CATAGTTGATGCTCAGCGGGGACAGGCAGCCTCCTGCCCGAAGGCCGGTGCAGCCCTGCCACGGGGTGCGGTGTGCCCGGTGGGACCTGCCAGCTGTGCTGCCCGTGAAAGGGGCAGAGATTTGCAGAAAAGAAGTGTGTGCAGGCTGGATGCAGGCAAAGCAGGGTCCCGAGGGGGGTGTGGGGTCCCAGGCTCTGCAGAAACAAGGAAATCCCAGGGCTGGTCCAGAGCCAGGGGTCATGAAAATGAAAGTGGATGTCGAGCTCCCTCATCTGCCTGGGTTTCATGGGCTGTCCCCTCAACCCGCTGCTTTATCCCCCAGCCCCTTTTGTAGTCAAAGCCAAATGTCTCTTCCCTCCCTGCAATCCCAGAGGCTCTGAGGGTGACACCAGCAAAGCAAGGGCCCGGGCCAGGCACCTGAACCTGCCATGGCCCACCCATGGCGTGCATGGCTGGGCTGGGAGTGGCACAGCCTGCCAGCAGCTTTCCAGGGGGGTCTCCCCGGGGCCCCCATCATTTTCTCCACGTCACGTGGAAGCACTGGTCTCCCCCCGCGCAGGTTCACTGCAGCCTCTGCCCTCTCTCCCTGCCCCCCAGCTGTGCGTGCAGACAGGATGCGCGGAGGGAGGAACAAGTTTGGACCCATGTACAAGCGGGACCGTGCCTTAAAGCAGCAGAAGAAAGCTCTGATCCGTGCCAACGGCTTCAAGCTGGAGACCGTGCCTCAGATCATGTCCCCGGTGCAGAACGACTACAGCCTGTCCTCCACCATCCACAGCATCCACGCCATGTCCAAGACCTTGCCCCCCAACCCCGCCACCCTGACGCCCATCGACTACGAGCGCAGCCCCTACGCGACGCCCTCCCTGGGAATGACTGTGCCCAGCCACGCGCCGCTCGCCAGCTACCACTACCCCTCCTTCCCCAACCGCACCATCAAGTCCGAGTACCCGGACCACTACACAAACGCGCACGAATCCATGCCCGCCTACGTGTACCCAGAGACCTACCCCAGCAGCTCCCCCCCCGACATCCCCGAGGTCATCCTGAAGCTGCTGCAGCTGGAGCCCGACGAGGCCCAGGTGAAGGCACGGATACTGGCCTGCCTGCAGCAAGAGCAAGGCAAAGGTCGGCATGAGAAGCTCAGCACCTTCGGCCTCATGTGCAAGATGGCTGACCAGACCCTCTTCTCCATCGTGGAGTGGGCACGGAGCTGCATCTTCTTCAAGGAGCTGGAGGTAGGAGCCTGGGCGGGGGGGGAGGGGGGATGCTGCACTGGGCGGGTGATGGAAGGCAAGTAGGACTGGGGCTGAAATGCCGTGGGGACGGGGCAATGCCCATGGGCACGAGCCTGGGGACGCCAGCGCTGCGGATCTGCTGGTGTGTCCCTGTTCTGCTCCTGGCTCCCCGTGCGGCAGGGCTGGAGGCACCGGGGGCCCGGCTGCCACACCAGAGCGAATCCCGCTGTGGCTGCGGGGCTAATGATTTCAGATTCATCACGGCGGGGGCAGGTGTGGAAGCAATCGCTGGCAGAGTGACTGCGGTGTCAAGCTCAAGATATAATTGAAAAATGTAACGTTGAGGAATTATAGTTGAGACAATTCTCTCCTCCGCCTTTAGGAGGAAAATCGATGCTGTCAGGTGGGTGCCTATTAGCACCAGGCAGCCAGGGCAGGGCTGGCCGGGGCGGGGGACACCATCAAACCTCCTCTGGAGCCGCTTCTGCTGCTGGTAGCCCATCAGCATGCCTGGCTGGGGGACATGGAGGTGACCCCTGTCCTGCCGGGCCATTCCCTCTAACAAATCCCTCCAGTCACCTACTGGTGCCAAGGGGTGGATTAGCAGAGTGGGGCAGCCTCTGCCACACTGCAAACCTTGCCAAGCTTTCAGACACTTTCCCTTCATGTCTTGGGCTGACCTCAGATTCCAAACTTGTGCAAAAATAGGAAAGAAAATCTTGCTATGTGGCCAAAACCCAGAGAGCTGTCGCCTGGGGCGGCTGGGAGACCAGGGTACCTTCCCGTGCTTCCAGCGTCAGGCTGTGCTACCTGGCTCGGGCCAAAATCCCCTCCCTCCTGCCGTGCCGTGGGGCCTGTGCCCCGGAACAGGGCCAGGCTCTTCCTCGTGCCCACCCCACAGGGTGCCATGGGGCCAAGCGTAGCAGAGCCTCGTGGCTCAAAATAGCCCCTGGCTGCCAGAACAGTGTCAGGAAATGGCATTGTGGGGGTGGGTCGGGCTCATTTCAATCATATCAGTGTCCAGCCTAGATTTTGGGAACAGGGTGGTTGTTGTTTTGCAGGAGATATTGTAAACAGTGTAAATTCAGCTCCCGGCTGCATTGCCGTGTAGCCTTGTAACTCCATTGTGAGCCTGATTGCACCACCAAAATAGGCTGTTTCCATGTGAATCCGTGTCGGTGGGTGCTCCTCCTCCTGTGGGGCTCTGGGGAGGACAACAGTGCCAGAGGCCTCACCTGGGCAGGGCCACCGGTGCCCTGCCGGGAGCGGACATGTCCCTCGCCATGCCCAGGACGCGGGGTGCAGCGCCCAGGCTTGGGAGCTCGTCTGGGCGCCGCATCCATCACTGCCACCCTGGGGATTCCTGCCTTTTGCCTTCCTCTGAGCAGCAAGCGTGGGGCAGATTCCCAGCGCTTCGCAGGGCCAGTGACCGCAGGACACCGCGTCCCACCCTGGCTCCAGAGGGAGCGTGAGAACGCGCGGTCGTCGCTGGCCTTGGCTCCCTCCTGTGCGCTGGCTCGGCAGCCCGCAGCGTAACCGGGCAGGTCTGAGCCCCCCGGCACAGGGCTGAGGTGCCTGGGGCTGCCCGCTGCCCCCCCAGCGTGGCGTGTCCTCCCTGGCGCAGGGCGGTGGCTTTCCCTTGGGTGTGCGGAGGGAAGCCGTTGGGAAGCTGGAGCAGCTCTGCAGCTCCTGAAACCCCGTTCCTGCTCCTGCCTGGCGCGTAAAAGCAAACAGCTGCTGGGGTGGTAAATGGACTCCTGCTAGTGCAGAGTTTACGGCTTTACCCTAAAGCCCGCTAGCACGGAGTGAAATCGTGATCTCAGAGATCGATGGCCATCACACGGGCAGTCCCCGCTGGGTGCTCAGGGCTCCTCGGAGCAGGGGATGCCAGCGGCCCTCTCCGTCCCCTGGGAATGTCTGCGCGAAGGCGATGGTCTCCATCCCCATCCGGGGAAGGGCTGCTGGCCGAGGCCGGTGTGGGGATCCAGGCTGGAAGGGCGTCATGCTGGGACATCGCTCTAGGGCATCATACGGGGCTGATGCCAAGTGGGTGAGGAAGGGGTGTGGGCAGACGACCCCACGCATGGCATCCCCTGCCTAAACACTCCCAGCACCCGCATGCTCCTGCCGCAGGGCTGCTCTGCAGGCATCGGGCTTCTCCCCCGGCCCTCGTAGGGAGCCTGGAGAGGAGGGAGAGAACCCCTGGGGGCATGGGGACCCACCGACTCATGCCTGGCCAGGATGAGCCTTTGCCCAGGGGGAGCAACAGCCAGTCCCCTCTGGAGCTGGCAGGGCTTGG